TTCAAACCCGATTAACTTTTTTGTATTCCTGTAGGAGTCACTGCATCCAGCGTTGGCTTTATGGTCATGACTGCTTTCATCATGTTTCATACCATCATCCCCATAAGTCTGCAGGTTTCCTTGGAAGTTGTCCGCTTTATTCAAGCCTTTTTCATCAACTGGGTGAGTCCATTCGAGTCGGTGTTTCGCTGTCTATAATCCACCGTCAATTTACCCTCCCTCCCACCTTCCTCCCCTTCCTGCCTTCCCCAAACATTTATCTGAACTTTGGTCATTTTTGGTGCGTTTTTAATTTTGCCCTTTATCCTACAAGGACCAAAAAATGTATGACCCGGAATCGGACACAGCAGCCATGGCGAGAACCTCTAACTTAAATGAAGACTTAGGAAAGGTTAGTTTGACCTTTGAAAACTCCATTCATGATAGCCCCCAAACCTGTTTTTCCTTTTTTGTCTGTCTGTTGAAGAAGTTAGCGGTTTAGTGACGAGATGACGTACAATCTCGTAAATTGTTAGCCGAAATTCTATTATGCGTTTTCGTTCAGGAAAGAGAGTACTTAAGGCGCATTTAGAAGATACCATATAAGGCTCATAACAGTGGCCTATGAGCTATGTTATGTACCTTTCAAGACAAAATTACTAAATAGGGGTTTCGCGGTCATAAATATCTCATAATTACGAAGTTCTGCAAATGCTCAAAATCTTACTTGTACGGTGGAATTTGCACGGCTCCTTCTCCAAATCGTTTACTACGGGATGATAAGGAGAACTTTAAGGGGATATGAAAGTTAGTGAGATTAAAAGGATTACACCCAATAGTCTGCAAAACGAAATGGCTAAAGCTTCCTTCATCTCGCTGCATTTCCTATAGGTGAAGCACATCTTCTCGGACAAGACCGGCACGCTGACAAGAAACGTTATGGAATTTAAGCGTTGCACAATCTCTGCCAAGACTTATGGGTAAGAAAGCCGAACCACCACCCTATGTTCTGATTGCTTCTTGATTGCTTGCATACAATACTTTCAGTTGATTTGTTTTTCTCTCCCCAATCTGCAACTCCTGACCGGCAAATGAGTTCTTGTAACGCTCCTTAACAGAAGGGATCATGTTGCTCTGGCGTGTGCACTTCTAGCATGGTTTAGCTTGACCCGCATTCAACACTAGGTGCTCACTCTGTAAACCGACATCTAACTAAGAATCCTCTCACAGGCAACCTATTTGCGCAAGCGGCGATGAGTTCGACCAGCAACCGGCGGAAGCAGAGTAAGTTCAAGCTGCTTCTTGAAAATAGCTTTCCACTCTTTCCCTCCGATGTAATGAGACTACGTCCATGTGTGACTGATTAGAGTGCATCTGCCGGAATCCTCAGAATCCAATCAGTAGTATTAAATTTGGCTTGCGCAGCCACACAGGAGCCTTTAATATGGCGAGGGGGGATCATTTCTGTCGGTTGAAGAAGTTAACGGTTTAGCGACGAGGTGACGTAAAAATGTTAGCTGAAATTCTATTATACATTTTCGTTCAGGACCAAATTTTCCTGTAATGTAGCGCAAAGCCACCTATCTTCCGGATGGTTTCTGTTCCCATGTTCTCTCGTGAGGGTCCTATAAGTAACCCCTGCAAATAATTCGATCCTACTCAAGTTTTGGGGTAGGCTGCAATGTCTCCTTCATTATATGGTTCCTATGGCACTCACGCAGGCCATGTCCGGGACTCGCTCCTCGAAGCCAGATACGTGAAGGGCTTTTGGCCAGGTCTTGCCTGATACGATTAGATGAACTGTTTGGATCTATCACCTACTGCTCTCACATCCACATCTAATCATTTTGCTTTTATATTATCGTGAGAAAAGAGCGAGTGTAGGTGGAAGCAGAGGAAGAGAGAGAGAGAGAGAGTCCAATTAAGTGTGTTATTTTGTTTTCATTCATCTTTTATGAGAATGATCTGAGGCAAAAGTGCCGAAGGCTTATTCATCAGAATTCCTGTCGTATTTTCGGCGTCCTCTCATTGTCAGTCCATCGCTAGTATCATCTAGCTGACAGTTAGGGCTTTCCTATTAACTTTGCTAATTATTGAGGACAAAATTTTTGGTTCCTGAATGTTAACATTCCTGGGGTCTACAGACAATGTCTGTGTGTCAGACCTTCGTTTAACTAGAAACTGCCGGGCAAAATCAAGTTTCACGAACACTCGGGGTCTACCTTGCTTAATCACCTGCATGTTTTTTCCCGGACCAGCTGTTTTCCTTCGCTGTCCCTTGGTATCAACATGAGCAGGTCACATGTATCATTACAATTTACGCCTTTCTTTTCATACTATGGGTGACTGGGGTTGTTGTACTAGCTTACTCCCTTAACCTAGTTTGCCAGCAATACATGTTA